CCTCCCTCCCTCCCTCCCCTTCCTTCCTTCCTTCCTTCCTTCCTTCCTTCCTTTCTTCCTTCCTTCCTCCCTCCCTCCCCTTCCTTCCCTTCCTTCCTTCCCTTCCTTCCTTCCTTCCCCCTTTTTCCCATTCTTCTTTCTTTCCTTCCTCCCTTCCTCCCTCTCTCCCTCCCTTCCTAGGACTGGCAGGAGGGGGGGTGAACATCTGGAGGGTCCAAAGCTGGGGATCTGGAGCCCCAAGGAGGCCGGGTTCGAGCAGCAGAAGGCATTGAAAAGGAGGCCTCAGGCAGCTGGAGCTCATGAAGGAGGGGGGGAGGGGATTTGAGGCACCCTCAAGTGCTCAGGTTTTGGGGTGGGGGGCCAATGCCCAGCGAGCCCCCCCAGCACCAGGTCTCCCTCACAGGGAACTAAGCAGGGGAAGATCTGATCAGTCAGTGGATGGGAGGCCAACAGGAAACCCTCAGTTCTCTAGGCTGGGCAGAGAAGCCAACAGACACATCCCAGCAGAAGGGTGGGGGGGTCACTGAGGGGTTGGCTGCCAAGAAAGGGGGGGCTCCCCAGGAGAGGCTGAAATAATTCTTCAGAATACAAGTTGGGGGGGATGTGGCCGAAGACCATGACACGGCTGAGGATCCCCCCCCCCCACGCTGTCCTTCCTTCTCGGCCGATGCTGCCAACAGAGCAAGAGCAGCAAGCATGGACCCCCAGGTGTCCCCCCCCACACACACCTGTCTGGATTCCTCTCTTCCCCTCCTCATCGCCCCACCCCCCATCAGAGTATCCTGCTAGGGATCAGCTGGGAGAAAGCTCAGCCCAGAAGCCTCTCTGTGCCCATCCAAACCAGCACCCCAAAACCCCTTTGTGGGGGCCTCGTCCTGGTGCAAGGTGGCCTGGGTGGGCTACAAGGCAGCCCCCCCATGCAGGCTTTGCACCAAGCTGGCCAGGATGGGGCTAAGGGTGGAGATGCCTGGGGGGAGAGAGTTTTTTCAAAGCTGGCCAGGCCAGATAAGTGAGGGCCCCCCCATCCGGAAGAGGGGCAGCGGTCACCCCAGGAAACGAAGCCTCACCTGGGGAGTCCGGTGGAAGCCCAACAGGGAGGGCTCTCTGGGAAGACCTGGACATCCCGAAGGGGGGGGTTTCCCCCCGCCACAGAGGCTCCTGCAGACCCCCACATCGACACTCACCCGACTGCCTGAAAAGTCTGGGAAGAGAGGAACGCCAACAGGGTGTTGTCCGGGCCTGGGTCTCACCCAGCCCCCCCTCCTCCAAAAAGGCTCTTGCTTCCATAGCCTCCCCCCAAAAAAATACAGCAGTCCAAGACCCCCGACATTTCAGTTAGCCAGCATTTCAAGTGCCCCTCCTTCCTAAGCCAGACTTTAACCGGATTTTGTGCCGGTGAGGAGAATACACCGTGTCTGGGGGGGGGGGGCTCAGATTTGGCTAAAGGCTCAGAAAGTCACTTTGACTGCTAACCTTGCTGGCTTTCAAGAAAGCTGAAAGGGTAACACCTGCAAGGTTATTAGTAGGGTAATATTGGAAGGAGGATTGCTTGCCTACTATAGAAGAATGGACGCTTAAAGTGTCAAATTTAGCAGAAATGGCCAAGATTTCTGCCTATTTGAAGGATCCCTCACAAGAAAGATACACTTCGGTTTGGAGAAGATGGATAGATTATATTCAGAACAAATATGGGACTAAAAAGTTTCATTTAGCCTATGAGTAAATTTTAGAGTATTATTAGTATTAATAGTTTATTATAGTTAAAATTTTGTTAGTTTTAATTATATGATATTATTATTACTTTTAGTATTAGTATCGTTTAACAATATGGATATTCTATTGTTTAATAATTAGGATACTAATTTGTTTATGTTTTAATTATTATTATATTTACGTTAAAGGGGNTTATTAGATGGTTACAGAGTTTTCATTAGTTACTTTGCTAGTTAGTTCATTAATTCATTAGTTAGATTTAGTTAGTTCATTAGTTAGAATTTGTTGGTTCATTAGTTGGTTAGTTAATTAGCATTAGTTGATTGGTTAGTTAGAGAGTTCATTTGTTGGTTCATTAGTTAGAGTTTGTTAGTTCATTAGAGTTACTTAGATAGAATTAGTTACTTAGTTTGTTAGTTTATTAGTTGGTTAGAGTTACTTAGAGTTAGTGAATTGGTTAGTTATAGTTCATTAGTTAGTTCATTAGTTAATTAGTTAATGTGTTTATTAGTTGGTTAGTTGGTTAGAGCTACATAGAGTTAGTTAATTGGTTAGTTAGTTCATTAGTTAATTGGAGTTAGTTAATTAACGTTAGTTAGTTTGTTAGTTTGTTAGAGTTACTTCATTAGTTCATTAATTTGCTAGTTAGTTCATTAATTCATTAGTTAGATTTAGTTAGTTCATTAGTTAGAATTAGTTCGTTTGTTGGTTCATTAGTTGGTTAGTTAACTAATTAGCATTAGTTAGTTGATTGGTTAGTTAGAGTTAATTCAATCCTTGGTTCATTAGAGTTTGTTAGTTCATTAGTTCATTAGTTAATTAGAGTTAGTTAGTTTGTTCATTAGTTAGTCATTTAATCGGTCTGCGATGGAGGAGCAGCCTGATGCGGATACATTAAGCCGGCCTTTGGGGTCCAGAGCCCTGCCTGGTGTTACGGGGAGGGGGGACCGGCTCCCCCCTCTTCCAACAAAGCTTCTCTGGCCCTTGCAGGCCACCCTCCCCAGCCTGGGCCACCCCAAGGATGCAGCTCCCATGCTCCCCGTCCCAGCCAGGGCCCGGCTTGGAAAGGCTGAACCTGGCCCTGGAGTGACGCCCGAGCCGGCTCACCTTGGGCGGGCGGGGGGCCGGTGCAGCTGCCCACGTCCAGGGTCTGCTCCGAAGGGGAGTCGGGAAAGAAGGTCTTCAGGAGGGGCGAGCGGAGACACTCGTCCGGGCTGGCGTTGCACTGGCAGCCCTCCACCACCTCCACCCGCCGAGGGCCGTCCCGAAGCCAGCGGTCCTGCACCAGGAGGCGGGTGGGCTGGCAGCGGGAGCCGGGCGGGCAGCAGCCGTCGGAGTGGGGGGGCACCCTGCCCCTGGCTGGCCCCCGTGAGGGCCTCTCCTGCGGCTGCAAAAGGGGGGGGGGTAAAGGAAGCTAAGTAAACCCTGGGCCTTGGACAGAAGCTGCAGGGTGCCCGGGGGGGATTCCTTACCCGTTCCCCTGGCCCAAGAGGCCTTTCTGGAAAAGAGGGGGAATCAGTGGGGCGTGAAACCCCCCATTTCTGCCTTTGGAAGAGTCCCAAGAATTGTCCAGTTCTTTCTTTCTTTCTTCCTTCCTTCCTTCCTTCCTTCCTTCCTTCCTTCCTTCTTTCCTTCTTTCCTTCCTTCCCCCTTTTTCCCATTCTCATCTTCCCATTCCCATTTTCCTTCCTTCCTTCCTTTCCCCTTTCCCATTCTAATCTTCCTTCCTTCCTTACTTCCTTCCTCCCTCCCTCCCTTCCTTCCCTTTTTCCCATTCTCATCTTCCTTCCTTTCTTCTCCTTCCTTCCTTCCTTCCTCCCTCCCTCCCCTTTCTTCCTTCCTTCCCCCTTTTTCCCATTCTCATCTTCCTTCCTTCCTTCCTTCCTTCCTTCCTTCCATCCTTCCTTCCTTCTGTCATTCCTCCCTCCCTCCCTCCCTCCCTTCCTTCCTTCCTAGGACTGGCAGGAGGGGGGGTGAACATCTGGAGGGCCCAAAGCTGGGGGTCTGGAGCCCCAAGGAGGCCGGGTTCGAGTGGCAGAAGGCATTGAAAAGGAGGCCTCGGGCAGCTGGAGCTCATGAAGGAGGGGGGGAGGGGATTTGAGGCGCCCTCAAGTGCTCAGGTTTTGGGGTGGGGGGCCAACTCCCAGCAATCCCCCCCCCAGCACCAGGTCTCCCTCACAGGGAACTAAGCAGGGGAAGATCTGATCAGTCAGTGGATGGGAGGCCAACAGGAAACCCTCACTTCTCTGGGCTGGGCAAAGAAGCCAACGACACATCCCAGCAGAAGGGTGTCAGGGGGGTCACCGAGGGGTTGGCTGCCAAGAAAGGGGGGGCTCCCCAGGAGAGGCTGAAATAATTCTTCAGAATACAAGTTGGGGGGGGATGTGGCCGAAGACCATGACATGGCTGAGGATTCCCCCCCCCCCNCATTTAGCCTATGAGTAAATTTTAGAGTATTATTAGTATTAATAGTTTATTATAGTTAAAATTTTGTTAGTTTTAATTATATGATATTATTATTACTTTTAGTATTAGTATCGTTTAACAATATGGATATTCTATTGTTTAATAATTAGGATACTAATTTGTTTATGTTTTAATTATTATTATATTTACGTTAAAGGGGGGTTAAAGCGCATTATGGACTTGGTTATTTATATAGTTGGTTAATGTTAGTTAGATTATGATTATTATATTTGTAACCCTGTATTCAGCTCTGGGAAGTGGGGGAGGGAGAGGGGGGGTTTAGGGGGGGTGGATTTTGGGGTTTATATTGTAACTTTTATAAAACTTTTCAATTAAAAAAAAAGCAGAAAGTGAACAAGCCATGTTCCCTCGTCCAACATCTGGTAAAGTGGGGGGTGTTGCAAGGACCAGGTCTTAATTGGATGCTAATTAAGCATCTTTGGCAACCATCCCATCCCCTGCAGATAGGCTGCTTTTCACTCCCTATACTGAATAGTTTAGAAAAGGACAGAAAATGGCAAGAGGGACCCAGTTATTAGGGGCTCCGTGGGGTCCAAAGGGACGCAGTGTGGCTAGGTTTATACCTCTTAATATCTACAGATTGGGGGAGACCTGGCTTAAAAACAGTAACTGTGAGAGGGATGTTGAAGTCCTAGTGGACGATCCCTTGACCATGAGCCAGCCGTGTGCAGCAGCAGCCAAAAAAGCTAACACAATCCTGGGTTGTATAAACAGAGGCATAGAATCAAGATCACGCAAAGTATTAGTACCGCTTTATAAAACCCTAGTGAGGCCACACCTGGAATACGGCAGCCAATGTT